GGTGCCCAATTTAGAGCTCTTAGGAAAGCCAGTGTACACAAGCTATTCAGCTGCTAGTTGCATGTAGCTAATATACTTGAATTACATGTAGCTGCTGCTTCCAGCTTGGCTTGCTGTGGCATTTCCTTCCCTCACAATGCTGAGTGAATAATTTATGGGTGAAGTTTGTCTTTCTCTCACATTTATATTTCCTATTTCAAAACTCTTTGAAAAATTTATCAAAATAAGCCTTTTCCTTTAGTTCTTTTATGAAGAGGCCGTAAGAAAAGTTTCTGCTGCCTAATTGGAGGTTCCCAGAATCAACTTTCTCCTGCACATACACACCAATTTAAAAGTATCTGCTTTGTGAATATTTGCTGTAACCTGACTGCGTTACTCCTTAGAAGATTTTTGTGCTAATGAATGTTTCTCGCAAGGAAGTTCCCTTTTCAATATTTGTGGAAGACACACAAAGGACAAGGACACAGTTGAAGTATCTTAATTTGCAAATGTATTTGAATATTCATGATGCCTATTTTAATATTCACCCATCTTCTATTTGTGTGAATGCAGCATGTCTGTTTTAAGGTAGAATACATCTGTGGCAATTTGTTTTGTCACCAGAAACATTAATGTTGGGAACAGCTAGTGCAAGATTGGACAAGCAGAAATCCTGCCTGAGTGAGGCCTTAAATAAGCTCATAAATCACAGAAGTTGGCTTCCTCCTCCAACTGGAAGTTGAAAATAAGAATACCGTGGTCAAATTTACACAGTTTGTGGGTACTGAAAAGGCCACCATGACCCTACAGGTGCCACAGCAGCCGGGCTGGGACTGTATGGGATGCTTTGGAAATGTCCTTCCTTTGGTGAATCACTTGTCATCACATGCTACACTTAGCTGACTCATATCCCAAGGTATTTAAAGGAAGGCAAGGATAAAAAGCGCTTTGGACCCAGTCAGAAAGGAATTAATCTTCCATTTGAAACCAGTGCTGCTGCAGAGCATTCCCCCTCTTCTCTGCTTGGTGTGCAGCATCCAGCGCTTCTTGCCATTCATCTTGTACCTGTCGACAACTCTTCAAGTTGTCTTATGGGGAAATTTCCTCCTACATGTTATTCGAACATTTTTGTTTTATCCTATCCTGATAAATGATCTTGCCAGCAAAGATTGCTTCTTTTCAGGGCTGGCAAACGCCATTTCTTACCTGATGGCTTATTGGGAATACAATTGGAAAAAACATGATAACATTTTAAAAAAGCATGATGGAATAAAAGGAGAAGAGAGATTTTTATCACCCACCCAGTAGCTGCAGACAGAGAAAGTTCTAATTCTGATTATATCCAGAGTGTACATTTTTTCTTAGTGGACTTGGCGATTAAGTACTTAGCTGAAAAGCATGAGTGTCACGGGCTGCTGGTTTCTCAAGGTCGCTGTACTAGCACAGGAAGATGGGTCCCTCCATCACCTTGTGAATGGTGCGGCCTGTGCCCTTCTATAGAGTGGTGGAGGAGGTGATCTCTGCCCAGCTGTGTGCTTGGTTCCTGTAGAAACAAAAGTCTCCCCATTTATCTCCTCTTTGAAGGCACAGATGTTCTTACCTCTGAGGTTTCCTCACTGGTCCTTGGTCTGTTTTCAGATTGTGTGAACCAGCATGATGATAACCAATACCATTCTGCCTCTGCCTCGGGTTTTAGTGCAGTATCTGTCAAAGCTACTAAAGAAGAGCTACGTTGAGTAGGTGAAGGAGTGGCATTTTGCATATCTGAAGTCCTTTCAGGTCCTTTCTAGATCTAAGCATCCTTGTAGTTTAGTGTGCTTGAAAATAATGAGAATTGCATTGAACAATCCACATGTTTGTGATTAATAACTACTTTTTTGTAGGTGCTCTTGGTCTTCAAGATGTTAGGCAAAGTCAATGAAATTAAGGTACCCCATTGCACAGAAGTTCAAACCCAAGTGGGAGTACCCACAGCAAAAGTGATTCTGCTCAAATCAACAGCTGTCAAAATTATCTTGGTTTACTACAGTTCTTCTGTGTTTGGGGGCTGTGGGGTGGTAGTGGTGTTGCGGAACTTGTTTTAACTGGTACAAAATCAGCAGTATTAAAGTTAAGCAGTTTTTCTGCATACTTTGTCTTCTAAGCAGAATTTCTTGGTTATTTCTATAGCCCTGATTTTGCTATCAACAGAAATACTCAGAGGTACCCATTGTGATCTTTTTGTGGAGGTACCATACACACCTCCAAAAAATAACCTACGTTCAGCAGCAGATAATTGATCTGCTTTTTCAAAGTATAAGCTCAAAATCTCAATACCTTGTTTTATTTGTCACTCAATTATGTCAATAATCCCTTAATCTACTGCTTACTTGTTTATTCATGTGTTCATTGAACTGTATTGTGAAACACCTTCCTGAAGAAGTTATTTTATTACTCGTTGTAATTGTAGGATAGTACCTATATATTGGAGGAAGGAGAAGGAAAAGTTACTTGTCAAGTTTATTTGAACTCATCAGGAAGTCAGCATAAAGCACCCTAAGAAGATGTGATTTCCAAAACCAGCTGAGTGCCTCTCCCCCAGAGTCTGCCCAGCTGAAAATGTAACTGGCTACATTGACAACTGAAAACCTCAGAGAGGATCACTACGATGCGATGGGATATTCTGCCTGCAGACATGGACTAGAGAATATACTTCTTACTGTGGCAGACAGTACAGGGGAGGAGATGGCACAGTGTTGTAGCTCTCTAGCTTGGTCCTTTGTGAGTAATATAAATATATAAATGTCTTCTGGCTTTCATATTGGATCCTTAGTGGGGGAGCTGGGAGAACAGCTTTGCATCTGAACTGGCTTCGGTAAAATCAGCACATTTACCTTAGACACCATCCTGATTTTCAAAATGTCAGGGGAGAGCAAGAGATCTCTTTATGACTTTTAGGTTGTATTTATTCTTCCTCTCTCTTATTTCAGTTACCTAAACATTTATATAAATCAAAGATTTGTTTTAGCGCAGCAAAGCAAGCTATAGACCAGATACGATATTTCATTTGCTGTTTAGCCCATAACTAACAAAGCAACAATTTCTTTATTAGAGGATAAACTCACATCTAAAAATATGCTGTCAGTGGTGTCAAGAGGAATGTGATAAGCTGCACCATTTCTGGGCATTAATGCTTTCATTTATTTTCAAAGACTTTGCAGAGCAGCTGACACCTGGCACATAGACCGGCGCCGTTAAATCAGATTGAGTGAATGTCTGAAAGAGTTTTTGGAATAGCTGTGTACTGCCACTGTAAGCCAAAAGAAGAAACATATACCATTAAATTTTTTCTTACAAGAGGCAGTTCACTCTCTCATATGTTGTTTGCATGGCACTTACTCTGGTGAATTTAAGGTACATCCTATTCTGCATAGCACTGAAGCATATCCTTAAGTCTCGCTGAAATATAGAAGAAGGCAGAGATTACAAGTCCTTCCTGAGGTGCCGGAACAGAACCCATTAAGGTATTGCAAGTCATGCGATTCAATTGCCCTGAAAGTATAATTTGATTGTAATTCAGGAGGTTACTAAAAGGAAATCCATTCTAGGCTGTTAGATAAGCAAAAGCGAGAAGTGTTTTTACTAGGAGTGGTTAAATGTGTGGTGTGTGAGTCCCTTATCTCTTTTGTTTGCAGTTTATCACCACTGAAGGCAAGTAAAGGGGGAATAATATCTAGTTCACAGGAGAAGATTGGATTAAACTTTCCCAAAGGTTTTGTGGGAGCTGTTTCCATTTCACTCTTGTCTGGATTAGCCTAACTGCTTCAGGCTATTTCCAAATCTGCAAAGGAGAAGGTCTTGGTGCATGGCAAGGAGGGGAGGATGGCCAGCGCCTTGTTTTTTTCCTGGCGGAATTTGCCTTTGACTTCTGTAAAGGAATTAGGAGAGCTTTGAAATCCTACCTGAGTGCAGAACTTCTTTTACTGTGGAGCTTTTTCAGATTTCTTTTTGCTGTGTAAGCTTATTGCTTTGTAATGGGTGTCTCTTGTAGGTGTTGATTAGAGTAGTTAGTTATTAGAAGAAACCTGAGTGCTCTCATATCTTGCTGTGATTATATTCACTGCCCCTCTTTACAGCTCTAGTTACTTCAGCTCAGTTTATGCATATGAAATATCTAATGAAATATTGGCATAGACTTGAGGTGGTTGAGTTTATGTATTATGATACTGAATTTTAAAATGCTATCTCTTTGGTACTCTGTGCAACCTTGGAATAAGCTCTAAAATACACCTAAATGAAAGGTAGATTCAACAAGTGTAACAAAGAGCAGTATTACCATGACTGCAGGCAAGCATGCAAGGATGCCTAATGTGCTGTCTGACCAAGGTGGAAGTAGAGGCAGCAGCATTGTGACCTTGCAGACACCTGCCAGGTACTTGCAAGAGACTGACACTGCTAAATAAAAATGACTCAGACAGAGAGATAATATAGAGCACCATATGTTGGTGCTTCTGATTAACTTAATTTTCATTCTATGAATCCTTAACTTTTCCTTAACTTTCATTGTGGGAATCAAGAGGGAAGGGCAGCCAGTCTCTGCCTGCAGAATCCTACCTGGCTCACTGTGTGACTTGGAAATAACCCCAAGTTTTCTGTATTTTGTTTCTGTCTGAGAATGACTTCTGTAGCAGCAGAACATAGGGCACGCTTGCCCCCCTGCTTCAGTGCAATGAAAGGATCAGCTGCTTCCAATTTAGTGAAATCCAGTCTCTGACAGCACACCCATTCTGCCTGCATTCTATTCATTTTAGTGGAAATGATGCAGTCTGAGTGCAAGGTTGTTCTCATTTATAAGTATTAGTTTAGGCAGGGTGAGTTTCCCAAGCAAAGGATGATTATGCAGAGAAGATAATTTGTGGTTCAGAAGTATTTACTGTCCAGCTACTCCAACTTTTTCAAATACATCATAATCTGCTTTATATTCATGTGTGCGAAAAAGAGAGTGCACTTATGGAATATTATGTTTTACTATTCCAGTGACAGTTTAACTTAGAAGAAGTGATCACAAGTAGACACTCATGAACACTCATCACTTTCCAGCTAATACCACACTGTTTGCAAATGGAACAGGAGAAAATCTCTGCATCTTGAAGGCTCTGACAGGTAACTGTGAAGAAGTTTGTAACAGCCCTTGGAGCTGCAATGAAGGGCAGCTTTCCCTGCTTTTTCATTCTGAAAGGCAGGCAGTGGCTCTTCCTTGCTCACTAGTGGACAGTGCTGATCAGCACAGCATCTTCCCATTCACGTCAGACCTTTTGTTTTCAAGGACCACACGTTTCTTTTCTAACACGTTTTCTTATTTCTCTCTGTTGTAACTGCTGCATCTTCTTTGAGCTCCTGGGCACTACAAGACATGTCCTAGATGTTGAATCTTGTCATTTTTGATAAATCTGTGAAGCACAGAGCTCAGCTGAAACTGCAGCTCAACATCCTGAAGTGCCAGTTTAATCTATTTCTAGCATTGGAAAAAAAGGGGGGAGAACCAGAAAACCTCACAGCTTTCTACCAGTAATAACAATGGGAACAAACTGGCTTTCAGAAAATAATTTAATCCCTGGAGTATTGGAGATGGCCTTTGAGTATTGTGTTTAAAAGAGCCTAAGGTAGGGGAAGTGTCCTGTTGCTGTGGCTTGTATTAAAAAAACCCCACACAACTAAACCTTTTTCCTATAAAAGTTCATTAAAGTGCAGTTTTCTTTTACAGTTTTCCAGACTGAAACTGCAAGTGGAACAGCCTTCTCTTTGAAATCCTGAGGATTTTTTTTGCCTTAGCATCATTGGATCACTTCTTGGGTATGTGCCCTTCATATATTGTTTTGTCTGAGCTTGGGATCTGGAGGGGTTGAGTATTAATCGTTATGGTGGAGCGGCTAATGGCACTTCTTTTAAGATATGATTGATTACTCACCAGGAGGGCTAGAGGAAGCTTTTAAAGACAAAGATGGGTGCTGGCTAACCTGTTTGCCATTGGAAAGCCAGCAAAATTAGGTCTTTATGTCACAGAATTTGAAATTTCCCTCTGGATTCACCAGAGTAGGAAGACAAATTTCACCATTGTTTTCATAATTCCATCTGGGTTAAGACAGTTGCCATCCCAATTAAATGTCAGACAAATGCCACAGAAGATGAGAATTAAAGTTCGGATGCCATGTCTGCCTGGTTCTCAGGATCAAACAGAGTTAATTTCCTCACAGATGCTAACCAGCAGCTTCACTGGCTCTGAATGGGCTCCAGCTCTCCAAGAGGCTGTGGACAGAGTTTCTGGATGTCTCCATGGGCTGATGGTAGACAGGTCTGTGGTTGTGTGCCTGCAGTAAAGTGGTGAAACCTAGCCTTCTGACCAGCCTGCTCTCTTTCTCAGGCCAGCTAATCTCATGCTTATTATAGGCTGTTTGAGATGTTGCAGGATAAGCCACTTCTTTTCACGTATTTTCATTTGTAAATTCACTCTGTGCCTGGACATCTCTTTTGTGTGTGTGTTTGGAAATCAGTGGTTCAATTTAAAACTATTCAGTATGATGTCTTGTCAAGGTTCATGCCCTCCAAAACAGCAGCCTTGTTTTAATGCTCCAGTTCCTTTAGGTTTCTCTCCAAATACCATTAATTCTCTAGAAAATCGGCAGGCATATCTGTAATTATATAGACTATACAGAAGTATATGTAAAGGTATCTGAGTGCATTAGGCCAGATATTAGGAATAAATAGGATGACCACCTGTTTAGCATTCAGCTTCACCTATCTAAACGATAATTTTCATTTGTACTGTGGTTGTGACATTTAAATCAATGCCCACAAAATAAAATTGCTTTGTTTAATAATCCTTTGTGCCAGGGTTATCAATAGTTCATTAGTCTTGCTTTGCATCTGTCGATAAGAAGTGCAGCTGAGAAGGAGAATGCTCAAGAAAAGGAGTATATTCTGTATGGGAAGATGTCTTCACTTTGGCCACCCTTTCTCTCCTTTTGATTGTAGGCTGCATGGTGTGGTTGCAATGTACTCGTAGCTTTTTGTTCTCTTGAAACATGGTAGAGAATGCTATAAGGTTTCATTTATTCCTGAAGAGCCAGAAGTGGCTCTTGAGTCCTGAGCTATATTCACACCATGAAAACACATGTGTGAGAAACTTCCACAACAGGATCAGTAATTATTTTAGCTGCCCTTTGGGTTTTGCCACTCATACAAAAGGCATTCATGCAAAGGCAAGTTGTCCCTTCCTGGCTAGAAACCAGTGTGCCTCTGAACAAGATGACAGCATGCTGCATGCTGACTAATGAGTGCCCCTTCTGGGCCACCTAGGTGCTCCTCACTCATTACCCTGGTTTATGTAGCTTGACATGAGAAATTGGATATTATCCCAGCAAGGTGGCATGGCTTCAGGCAATGATATTTTACTCACATAATCTTGCCAAGTTCATCTTAGCAGCATTTTATTTTCTGGTTCCTCTTGATCTGTATCACTGAACTCTATACAGAATGTGCTGGAGACGCTTCTGAGTCAAAGTTGACCAAACAAAACTTCAGCACACCCTTGGTAATTTCAGCTTTTTATCAATTAATTGGAACTCCACATAGTTTGACAAGGAGGTCAACAAATAAATATGTCATTAGTTACATACCAAATAATTACTTTAATGGCTGCTAGGATGCTACTTGATTTCTTTCACCGTGATCATTACATAGTTGCAGCAAGTTTTACTAATAATCAGCATACATTGGTTTCACAGTTCATCAAACCAGTAGATGTTGACTGGTCATTACCAAGGTGTTTGAAAGACCCAGTCTCTGCAGCAGTGATATACAGGACAGGAGCCTTGCCTGTGTGTATTTTCTTGGGTACAAATGGGATTTCTGGTCACAGAGGAACTTCTCATGGTTACTTGGAGGTTGAGCTGGAAGGCACAGTAGCACAATTGTGCCCATTGTCCTTCAGCTGAGAAACCTCTGCAGGCCGGAGCCTGGGTAGATTGCTGCAGACTGGAGCTCCACCATGACCCTACGCTTACGTTGTGAATCGGTTCAGCACATCTAAGAGAAGCAGAGAGTTTATGTAGCTCCATAAAGTGATTGCAAAGGCCTCCAGGGATAAGTAGAGTTCATTCTGAAAAAAAAAAAAAGCAGCTAAGTGAGACAAAACCCTCTGGCCTTCTGGTACTCTAGAAAAAAGGTTTTGAACATACACGTACCTAGTTAAGTAGACCCAGTGAAAAGTTTTGACTGGAAAACTATTTTGTCAGCATATTGTTTCAATGAATGTTTCATGAAAGCCTTTTGATTTCTTCAGATTTCTTGTTAGAAAAACATTGATCATGTAATTCTGTTGCAACTCATTTCTTCTTCCAGTTTATTTTATTTCCTTTTCCATTTTGCCACAGGAAAAAGAACAGAAGATTGAAAAGTTATAATGTCTTCAGACTAATCCTATGCCCTTTTTTTCACAATGTACTGCTGGAAATAAGAAATGGGGGAAAGAGAAATCAAAAATGGGCAAACTGGAAAAAAAATATTTTGCCATTTCCTCAAGATACATTTGCCTTTTTTGAAATCAGTTTTATTCGTATGTAAGTTACATAAGTGGTCTCATAACACTAGGCTACAGTTGAACAAAAAAGATTTGTATATAAAGAACTGAGTGATTTTAAACAGCTTCTTGTGTTACAGTATTTTCTATCAATATTTCATCAGAAGAAGTCAGTGCAGTAATTTACTTCGAGTCTTGCTTTGCTGATGCAGGTAAGCTGTGTCTGTTCAAGTGTCATTCTTCGATGGTTTTCTCTGCTGATAAAAGTTAGCAAAGAGAATGAAAAGAGACAAATGCTCATAGATATCCAGACAAACAGGAAGAGAATGAAAGAATTGTGGTTCTTTTTGAAATGATATCTCTTTCCTCCTGGCTGCAGGAGTCCCACAAGCTGTAAGTGTGTTTCCACGATTTATGTGCCTACTGACTTCTGAGGTGCACCTCCATGGGGAAATATTGCCCATGACCTTCTCCTGCAATTGCCTGCTTTGAATGTGGCAGTGAAAAGTAGTTCCATTAGCAGGTGATGTACTGGGTTTATGGAGAATGCTTGAAAATCTGTATTCATGAGAATGATTGGAAATTTCTAATATTTTCTTTGCTCCAGGCTAAATGCAGATGTTATTCAGAAAGACTGTCAAGTAGAGTCATCTTAAATTGAGCTTTTCTCAACTTTCAATAAAAATAAAAACCCTCCAGTGTCCTCACCCCACCAAAATAACCAGTGATGTCTCCAGGGCTGCAGTGTAACTCCATATGGCAGCAACTACAGCAGCAGGCAAGACTAAGCAGTGGGAAAACAGGTCAGTTAGAAGGCAAGAGGATATTTGGCACATTTATCCACTGTCTGCTGCTTGTGAAGCTCTTCCAAAACCTGACTATAGCTGTGACTGTCACACTGTGTTTGAAGACCAGATCCAAGAAATGACTCGGGGCCCATCTGTGTTGCCAAATAACTTCACTCTGTTGTTTGCTCCTGGTCTTTGCTGTCTGACTGTCCATGCTAGATGTTGTTTTGAAGTGAGCCAGCTAGCTAGTTCCCTCCAAGAGGAAACTCTCCAGGGCTGCTGTCACAGATGCAATGTGTATTCTTATCATCACGCTGTCTCACAGCTCTGATGAGCTGTGAAACATCTCTGGTATCACCTCAGCTATCTTGGACCAACGTTGTCATTCTGCCATAGCATTACTTTAAGAGTCCCAGTGGATGTGCAATGCGGATGTGGCCATCACCTTCAAGAGGGAACTAGTCCCCAGTCACGCCCTCAAATCCTGTAGGCCAAAGAGGGAAGAAATTGTTCAAGATTGGGCTGATGAGTGCACAGCAGGGGGGTTTTGCTCTGACTGTGGCATTGCAGTGCCCATCATAGGGAGTCACCTGGGTTGTGAGTAACACACACAATTTTAGTAACAATTTAAAATTTAGAGCATACTGTGAAGGTAACTTCATATGTGAATCCACAGCTATATTACTTTTTCCTAGTTTTATTAGCAAATACAGCCTTTCTACTGTTTTGTCTCGTGATTTATTTTTGAATGTGTTATAAATAGCCAGTGCTTTAGATTGGGTCAGTTCCCTAGGCAAATAAGCGTATCCCACTTAAATACTAGAGGTTAAATTCTTCCCATTGCATTTTTAGAAACCTTATTGTAATGTAAATTTATTTTGTCAAATGACCAGTAACTAATTTTACAGAAGACGTTAAAGAGAGTAAACTCTAAACTCTCTGCTCTGACTTGGACCTTGACATTAAATGTGTAAGACTTGAGTGTACTGGGCTTTCAAAGGTATGTTAAGTGTTGGCTGAGCAATGTGTCATGGTGAAAGAGGTGGCAGGGCAGGGGAGAGAGGTCTGAGCTTCCTTCAGACCGGCCAGAAAAGTAACCAGGAGCAGTCCAGCCACACCACTGCCAAGCATAGCATAGGCTGATTTCCCTCATCAGAAGCTGGTCAATGCACCTTGCTGGTACAGTGCCTTTCTTCTTGTGCTTCTAGTCCTACTAAGGTTATGAAGAGGGAGAAAGACAAAGTATGAGGGATGTGTGTCATTATGTGGCAATTCTGTTGTTTTATCCAGAAATGCTAACTGACAGCTAGTCATACAGCACAAGCCAGTGTGTGTGTTCATCTCTGCCATCTGTTGTGGTTGCCCTCTTCCCTGCCTACTCCTGATAGAAGAATTTTTTTTCCATCCTGCTGAGCTTCCTGGACAACTGATCTCCCTTCTGCCAATGCTGGACCCATGTCACAAGGCTGCTGAGAAGACATGACCTGGAGGAGATGGGTATAAATGCTTACCTCCCTGCAAGCTACCCACCCACTGACACTGGTTTAGCTCCTCACTTGGAAATCCCTCTTGATTTTAATAAAGAAACCAAAATTAAATGAGTTTTGGAGAAACTGGCATCTGTCTTATGTGCTGGAGAGGCAAAATCCTTCTTCTCACTGGATGGGGGAGCTGGACTCCAGAATTCACAGCAGTAGCCTCTTTCATACTGATGATGTATGTAATGTAATTTACTCCGTTGATGCAGGTGAAAAACAGCCTTCAACCTATTTTGACCCTGTGTAAGGTCGAAAGAAAAGCTTAACTAATTTAACACTGCCTTTTTTTTGGAAGGATGCAATTCATACTTTGGTTTAACAATCCAACGTAGAAGAAAACAGCATGACTTGAGCCAAGAAGAAGAGTGGAGAGAGTGAATAACGACAGCACAGATCAGCAGTACAGAAGCAGGCTGCTGTAGCACCTGTACAGAAAGCCTGAGGCCAGCCAGAAAAGTGGCAGAAAGATTGCTGTGGGAAATGGCATGGGGAGCACCATATGCACCAAGCACTGAAAGGCTGAGAACAGCATTTTAAGCTATCCTAAAGATGGGGGAGATGTCTCTGCCCTTGAGTAGGGGCAAAGAGAGAGAGGAATTTTTGAAGATGTCATTTCAAGGCCATACTTTTAATGTTAGACAAGGGCATGTTTGCTTTTACTTAAACTAGTATGTGTTGATGCTAACAAGGCACTGTAGATGTTTACAGGGATGCAGTGTGCAGATAGGAATGGAGCATGGCTGTTGTGTGTTTCTTTAGAGGAGAAATGAGTCTTGATACAGTTGTGTGACATTTACAATAAAAAGCAATCCATGGGTAAACCTGGCAAATTAACCATTTCGAATGCAAATTAGGGAGAGCTTCTGTTCTGCTGCGTTCTTCTTTTTGTCTTGATGTGGCAATTGTTTAAAGCAGGAATATAGTTTAATGACGTTCTCAAAATAGCCTCTGCTACTACTATTAGGTTGTTTACAATCTATATAATGCTAGATTTTTCTACTAAGTGTATTTTCTTCCCAATTTTGAATTTCCCTAATCTGCTGAGTCATTTCTGCTTGGGATAAAATAGAAGAAAATGAATTGTGTGAAGTCAAAACAGGTTGTTAAAGCCATTAATGTCTCTTCACCAAATCAGACAGGCAATACATTATTGTCTTTTCTGTGTTGTGTTTGGCTTTTTCTCTTCCCCTAGTTCTTGTTTTAAATGAATACTACTGGAAGATGAAGGATGCCTGTCCTGCTTTCTACTTCAGTCAGTGAGAGAATTCATGGCAGAGGGTCCTGGAGATGCTGCACAGATAACCTCCTGGTCAGAGATGGCAGCTTCCCAGGATTTTGGCCTGAGTGAACTGATTTTCTCCTTCAGGTATGTTCCTTTAACAAGAACATAAAATGAGGTCTTTCGAATGACCTAAGTGTTTGACTTCTATTTTTGCTTGGTCAATATATCATGTTGTGAGCTTAGAGATGAAAGTCAGCACAAGTTTGATGTTGACATCAGTGGAGTGGGAGACAGCCAGGTACCCCTGACATTAAGGGCATCGGCATCCTGGAGCCAGGCAGGACATGAGTGCTTGGCTAGAAAGGGTCTACCAGAGTCCCATAGTTTTTACAATCCATTTACTGGTGCCTGCAAGATGTTTTGCATAGATTTCTTTTCTTCTTACCTAAATGTGAACACATACAGATCAATCCAGAGACTCTGATTCTTTAAGGAACATTCTGCTTTGTTATTCCTTTCGCTTGTTTTGCACAGAACAGGGCAACACCAAGAAAGTAACTTACTGGGGATGATCAGAAAGACCTTTTTTCCCCTCATTTTTCAAAGGCAGTACACATAAATTGAATGTTGTCTGTACACAGAGTTGCGATTTTCTATATATAACCAAGGTGTCATTCCTGTAGCTCATTATTTCACCATGTTTAGGAAAAACATCTGTGTCAACAGCCAAGGCTGGTGACTGTCATTGGTTTTATTAAAAAGCAAAAGCTTTTGATCTTTTGAAGAAAGAAAAAGAAAAAATCAGCTCCTGTATTTTTTGAAATATTTTGTACTTGATCTTACCTGAAAGCATCAAAAAGTGAAAATCTGATGTGACATTATACATCCTAGTGGCCCCTAATAGTCACTCACTCCACCAATTTTTCTAAGTTTACCTTTAATTTGCTACTCCCAAACTAATTGAGGACTCAGTGCCTTTAGACTGATTTTCATTTTGTCTTGAGTTATTCAGACATCTTTACTACAAATTCTTTTTCAGTCCAATTAAATTCCTGCAGCATAAATGTCATTATTAATATCATCACCTTTGGTAGACTAACTTTGCCTTGGTCTCCTGATAACTGTGCATTGTAGACTAACTCCTTTTCTTCCTGGTTAATATTTGAAAAGTTCGGCTTGAAGTAAGAACAACTTGAGGCTTAGCATAGACAGAATATCCATTAATATTAATATATTAATTCACATTTATGGGTTTTTGTAAAAAAAAACCACCCTACAGTTATGGTATTATGTTAATTTTCAGAGGAATATTTCAAAACTCATTTAAAAGTTATCTTTTTTATCTTAGAAAACTGTTCCTAGATGCCAAGAATGCTAATAATTTGAGGATTAGAAGTAATTCCCACTTACATGGTAAAAATTTCCAGTCAAATCATTAATGCACGTGAAAGGGACACTCACTGAAAAAATGTATGTGGGACTGCAAGGGACTGCCAAAAAGCATTCAGTTCTTCAATCCAAGAAAAGCTCTTCCATGGGCTCTCTGCAGAGGACAGGACACCATCCTGGGAATGGTGGGAACGTAGGACCAGTGGGTGAGTTCTTATTTTCTGAGCAGGTAAATATTAAGAAGAACTACCATAAAAAACCAACCAACCAACCAAACAAACAAAACATGCCAAAAACCAACCAACCAACCAACCAAACCCAACCAAAACCAAGCAAACAAAAAAAACCCCAAACCCAAAAACTGATACGAAAATGTCATCATCTGTCAGTAGCTGGGCTAACATTGTCGTGGTAACTTTCTGTTAATCCTGAATTTAATAATGATCTTTTTAGCTCTAAATCCATCAGTAATACAGAGATTTTCTGAAGGGCACAAGTAACAGTGAATTACCTTTTGTGGGAGGTGTACTGTGAGTAAATCAACACATTGATTCCTAGTCTAAAAAAAGGATTATTTTATTAAGGTGAAGTTTTGATCTTTGCTCTCTCAACGTTTCGATGAACATTAGTGGTATTAGAACTGCAGATCCAGACATCCAGAACAATCTATTAAGTTAATAGGCAGTGAGAGTTTGAGATTGATTGCTATAATCAAGGCATGAAAGCTGGAATTTGTTTTCTAGATACAGATAACTGGACCAGATTCTGGGACAACTACAGAGTTGTGTATTACTACAAAAAATTATCTGCTTGAATTCTGATGAACGAAAAAGGAGAATAAAAAGCTATTCAAAACAAGTGAGGTTCTTATAATTTGACTCTAATAAAATACTCCTAAATTCTTCTTCACAAGCCCATATGAGCTTAAGCAAGCCTAAGTAAGTATAGGAAGGCTTTGTATTGACTCTAGAGCATAACCTACATCAGCCCCTTGAGAAGCCATGATGCACAATAGCATCATGGTCTGTATTGGAATGATATAGTTATAGAAGTCTCTGTAATCTTCAAATCAAAGTAGAAGTAGCCTTGGTGACACCCTCGTGCCCACTCTGTATCCACTGTAGCAAATCTCTGCCAACCTGAGGGGTGCTCTGGGGGGCTCAGCTGGTGGGGCACCAGCACTGCAGGCAGAGGCTGCACCTGCTGAAGCAACCCTGTAACCGATGGCCAAAAGCTCCCCAAAGACTGACTAAATTGCCAAGTTAATGTATTGAAGGAAGTGCACTTCAGTAATTAAATTGCTCTGATGCAACTGCTACATTCTGTGATTTTATTTTTTTTCTCACACTCCTGTTTATATTTTGATTATTCTTGAAGAACTCCACAGTTCCAGAGCTTCCTTGGTGCTCCCTGAAATTTTCTAGGTAAGCCCTTGATGCCATTCTTTTATCTGTCATCATGAGACTCAAAGGGGGAGGAGTGTTGTGCTTGCATTTGAAATCCTGATACTCAGCTTAGAAACCCTCTGGTATGATTTTAAACATGCTGCAATGGCTTATCTGCTAAATAAAATCTACATGAGGAATGTTGATACTTAATGAAATATAAGTTTGGGGATTTCACATAAGAAGGCTGCTGTCACTGCTTTAATATATTAGGGGAGAGTTCTGTGCAGATGGTATATACAGAGTTATTTCCTGACTGTACTCCAAAGTAAGTTGATTTGTGGTTTAATGACTTTTATCAAAATGAAATAAGCGTTTGATCTTTGGATTTGATCTGGCTATATCTGCAGCTGCTACACCACTACAGCAATTACTTCCAAACTGGGCTTTTTGCCCAGGCAAATGGAGTTCGTCCTTGTTTCATGTCTCATTGACCGTCCTGATAATACACACAATGGTACTGTAGTTTTTTTCTTCCTCTAAATTTGATAGGTGTGAAAATAAGAGAGTAATTCCCTTTTTATAGTATCAGTGTTGTTTTATTATAATACATTTGCTACTGCTGATTAATTTTATCTTGAAGTTTCTCCTAACTAAAATTTAGTGTAAGAATGTGTAATTTTCTCTACATAATCCTGCTGTGACCTTTTTATAAAGAAACAAGAAGTTCATTTATGAATTCTAAATCTGGGAACCCTCATGGTAATCTTCAAATCTGTGTGTGTGGTTTAGGGATGAAGTTGTAGCAATACGTTGTACACCCATGTTGGAGTAAATCCACCCCTAATGTATTTCCATGGAAAACAGTAGAATTATACTAGGAATACATTTACCCCCCTGGTATCCGTTGCTGAAATAGTGCTCTTTTATACCACTGGCTAGTTATTACAGAACTAAACTGTAGTGTGTCAAGATTAGCAATTGTTTTTCCAGGACAATGATTCTTTCTTCATTTACTGCTCAGGACAAGAGGCCCCCCAGTTGAGCCCTGAAAGCTGATTGTGATTGTCGTTAAGATTAAGAGTTGTTAGGGCTTGGTGTTGCCAGCCGTCACTTTCCTGAGTAGCGCAGCTCATGCCAGCTGCATTTTTTGACCAGAGTGTAGGAGACAGCAACTCCTTTGGTGGCTTGCAGCCAGCTCACCTGCATGAGGACCAGCAGAAGAAAGCTGCTGCTTTGTGCTATGCAGTGGATTCGCTGAATAAGGCAATGCTGGATGAGGGTGCTCTGGAAACAACCTAGGTTTGCAGCTGACAGATCTGAAGACTGCAGATTCACAGTGGCAAGGGGATGCAGTCACCCAGAATTACAAATCATTAAAGATTTTTGTTCTCCCCTTGTTGACAGTCACACTGGGAGAAAGCACACTGCACTTTGTATGGTTAGAAGCTAGTTTTTAAAATTTTCTTTTCTGGCAGGATATTTCTTACAGATATGCAATAAAAATGACAGTAACTGGAAAGTGGCTGGTGAATGGGTTGCCCGTAGATTTGCAGTCCTACTAGAAACTGTGTGAGAAGGAGGTTCATCACAAGAGCTCTGGAAGGTTTTCATGTGTTAGAGTTGCTGCTGCGTCTTTAGTAAATCAAACTACTCGCATAGTACTTGCTTCTTAATCCAGGAAGATTAAATCCACCAGTGATAGCTACATTGTCTAGCCATCTGCTCTCCCAGGTGCTCCCACGCCTGATCAGAGATGAAGCGATGTGACCTAAAATCCTACTGCCTATCTGGGATCATTCCCAGCACAGTCCCAAGCTTCAGTCTTCTGCGTGACATCAGATGAAGTTAACATCAAGATTTGATGTGATAGCATATGTCCATTGCATAATTCATCACAGTTCTTCTCTGGAACTATTTTTAGATATTTTTTAGTCAGAATTAGAGGATGAGGATTATTCAGAGAAAAAAGATAAGAAAATTTGGGGGTTTTTTGGAAACATGTCTGTGTACTTCTCCTGGGGCTGAAGGCAAATTTGGCCATTCAGCTGTATGTGGTTTGGTTTTAAATAATTAATTCCATCTTGGACTGTTCCACAGTCCTTCACAACAACTTGTGTGTGAGATGGTGTAAATCCAATAGTAGCACGGGAAACCTGCTCCTTTCTTACTTACCACTGCTGCCAAAACCCCTGTCAGGTCAGTTGGTATAACTTTTCCTTCACACCAGTTTCAGAGCTGTATCACTCCATTGCCTTGAGTGTGGTTGTTCCTGATTTCCAGACATGAGACACCTTCAAAACTACTTACCTTCTGTCTTGCGACATACCCATTAAGTGTTGGTATCATGTAGCAGGCAGAGTAGATGGTTTGCCTTCCCAGGCTGTGCAGAGTGCCTCGTAACTGCAAATCGTTGCAGCTCTTACAGCTTGTTCTCTTGTGTCAGCAAGAAAATAGGGAATGCATTCAGCTTGTGTGGGACACCTGGGATGTTCCTGTGTTCTTAAATGAAGGCAGTGCATGCACCCTTTTCCTTGCCTCATTTCACCTGACACATGCAGTATGAGTGGTTTTGCTGTAAGAAAGGAAAAAAAAAATCAACAAAAAACCCAGACTCCAAGAGCATATTGTAGAGAATGAGTCACTGAAAAGAAATGGAAGGAGGAGCTACTTGGAGGGCTTTTACATTTTCCTTATTGCTAGGCGACTGCTTCCCGTGCGTGTGGTGCTCTTCAAGCTCTCAGCAGCTGCCTTATTTGTAAAGCAGTGTTGAGGGCAATTTACAGCAGCTTTGTATGAGAGAAAGAGAAGCAAACTTGGATGGAAGCTTATTTTTTTCATTCTTTCTGAGACAAATGCAAGAGTGTATGGGAGACAATTGCAGGTTCAAGGAGAGCATCGTGCCTGAAATGTGAAGGATCTCAGGCTGACCTTGGTACATTACATGGGTTTTGGGAAAGCCATGCCTTGCTCTCCGCAAATAACAGTGTAATTATACCGCATTTGGGTTAAATCTGTACTGTTAGGGAAGCCACTGGTGCAAAAATGTAATATTGCCAATCACAGAGCTCAGTTTTGGCTTGTCCCTGATGGTCAGTCAATGTGCTGTGTGGGGAACCATCAGCTACCAGTGCTTTGAGTCACATCAGGGGCAGCCAAGGAAGCTTTCAGGATAAAGTGTGAAGAGTGGCCAGCCCCACCACCAGTGACACCGGTGGGTAAAATTCTCAGTTCTGTTTAAAAATTACTCTCTCGGAACCCCAGCTTTAATAAGGCACCTGAAGTAAGCTGATTGAGGTTGGGGCTGCAAATGGAAAAATCTCCTAGGGTTGTAATCATGGGTGAGTAAAAGCCTAGGAAAAAAACAAATCTAAGATCATAAGAATGTGTGAATTATCATCTGAGACAACTGTGCAATTTCTCTTACCATATTTTTCACACTAATGCCAGATGGCTAGGAACGGGATCCCCCACATTCTCTTTCTAGTCTGAGAAGACAAGCAAATAAACAAGGAAGATGTCTGTGATGGTATTAGTTGGCTGCCTGGTAAGGTGAACCATTGCTTTTCATTGCTGAAATAATCAGGACTGTTTCCTAATCTGATTACCGCATTAACCCCCCCTGCTCCGTTCAGTCCTGCCCCACAGATCTCAATTATCCTTTTAGTTCCTGCTCCTCCCCTGTGCTTCCTGCTTGTGACTTAGTGCCAAGTTTGGGGACAGCAGCCAAGTGTCAGGTGCCTTCAGCACTGTGCTGCATCAGCGGGATAACAGACTCCAGCAGATGTAACCAGTATGTCAGAAAAGCCTTATTCAGCAAAAATTAGTACTTAGAGGAGCTACCTCCAGCAGGTCCCAAAGGCAGGCCAGGTGGTCACTGTTGACGTGGCTGCCAGCACGCAGTCCCAGGGACTCCTGCATGGTGCCTTCACACCAGTGTAATGGTGTGGTATGGGATTCGGGAGGTTTTCCTTTTTTAAGGAAAACTATGCAAAAAAAAACCATGAGAAGCTGGGAGCTGTTCGCAAGTGCTGACTCCCATGAGTAGCTGTGGAGCACATGGCTGTGCCTTCCATCACATCCAGGAGTGAGCAGTCCCTTGTCAGGCTTTCGTCTCTTGCTGTGACAACAAAGCTGTCATGTGATGAAGCTCTGATAAGAGGTTATCAGCAAACCACAGGCATTTGCCCACATGCTTTTGATCAGGGACTGGTCCCTGTCAATGCCCTGTGGCTGGCTAGACTTTGAAAGTGCCTTTGATCCATCTGTGCCAATGAAATGGAATTGTTTGAAGTCTTTGATTTGTGGGCAAACTGTGCCCAGGAAACTTGATGGGCTTGTGATATTTCTGAGAATTTCTTACGTTTCAAGAGTTAGAAAAATGAGATTTGACGTTTCTTCCCATTAGCTTGTTTGCACTGTCTGAGTATACCCAGGCAAGGACATTTTACACCAGTTGGTATGTTGGTGGTGAAACCCATCTCTCTGTTGCTCCTACCATCTGTAGGACCATCCTGTGAGTTATCAAGATTCAAGTTTCCCCATGCCAGCTGCATGACAAGACTGCAAGGAAATACAGGAAAAGAAACATGGGGCAGAAATTTTCAGGTGTGGTCTTGAGAAAGATGGAAATTTTGGCAGAACAAGGTGTACATGTTAATACTGCTTCAGGTTCATTGACAGGCACAGACACCTCAGGTGAGATGAGAGCCTGTGGGGGTGTGGGGTGTCCTGCACTCAGGTTGCATTTTGGAGGTGCCTGGCACACTGTGTGATCCCATGCTCCCTGAAATCCCTGAGCTCATGTCATGCATGTTCTGTGCATATATATTAATTATTAATGTGCTGTGTTTCCTACATAGCTAGTTTACCAAAGCAGTTTGTTCTTAGCATGTAAAGGAAATAACTCGGTAAATATAAATGTGTTTCATAATAGCCTTGTTTGTGACAAAATTGTGAACTAAATCTTTACATGACATGGGGCTGCAAGTATTTGAGTCACATTTGGACAGCAAAGCCCACTGCATGCGGCTTTAATTACAATATTTCTCTCAAACACAGTCTTTCTCATGTTTTTCTGAACATTGTTTAAACAACTGATGAAAAGGGTTGAAAACTTCTCAAACTTTCCGTTTCTTAGGGTCTCTTCAGTTCAGTCTTTCATCATGCAGTCAATAAACAGTTGAAAAGGACTCTTCTGAAATGCAGCAGCAGGGCGGAGAAGAGGGGAAATTAATGATATCACCAAATTGAAACTCTTTCAAGTTCCCTTTAATTGCAGAGGGCACAGGGAGCTCATTCAGTTTTTAGTTCTCTGATCTCTTGCTCTCCCCAGCGGGATCAGTTTTCCTTTCCTCCCATGTTGCACGTGATTCTCCCAGGGCATTGAGCCTGGCAGAGTGAAATGGAGCAGAAGCCTGGCTCCTTCCTTGAGGCTCCTCCACTGTGCAGAGCTCTTCCTGATGGGATTTCATCAGTGGAGCAGCAGCCTGGGCAGTCCAGGGAAAGCAGGGCCAGGTCAGTAGAAGTCTCCTGCAAGCCGTGAGATCTTTCTCTAGGTAAGGAAAGAAGAGAGGGTCCTTATAGAGGGCAGAATAAGTAAACCTCGGTCACAAGCTATGAGCAGCCCTTTAGCCCGTCTCTGTATAATGTCTTGCCTTTTTAAACCACAGCCCTAACACCTTCTCCTCTGCCATTGTCCTCACTCATTCAAGCACATTCCTCATAACTCAGCAATGTGTTCCCCAGCACCTCCTCCTTCCGATGCTGCATCCTGATTTTAGGTAGGACTCTGTGCTCTTCACCCTTCCATGGTCCCACACCAGGGCTTGGTCCACCTTCATTGCCTGACCTTTGCCTTTGACCTCAGTAACATAGGACTAAAGTCAGACATCCTCTAAACAAAGCTCTTATCACCTGATTTGAAGTGATGTGACCTTTCATACTGCCCTGGGGTGCCTGAGCTGTGACCAGGCTGCTGCGGTGCCCCAGCCTCACACTGATGGTCCCACTGCTGTTGGTATGCAGCACCCACCATACAAGGATGCTTCTTACTCATTTAGACACCTGGTAAGCTGTTCTTCCTGTTCTTTATCTTTCAGACAAAGAGATAAGGGTTTTAGAGCCCAATGGAGAGGATGTGGGAGGGTACATCACATTTAGATTTATTCCATTTGAGCTAGGTAATGAAGACCAGTGTGTATGCAGAAGCATTCTGGCATTATTTTAGAAGTCTATTCTAAATAGTTGGCTTCCTTAGAAAGAAATTAGGGCGTTTCTTGAAACCTTATGAAATAGTGTATTTGTTACAAATGTCCTTATGCAGTATCTTTCGATTATGTCAGTCCTGGTTAAACCCAGCCTCTGGCTGGCAGGTGCTGCCTGTTCAGTGAGATGGTACATGAGAGTTACATATGCAAGTGGCTCAAGGTTAAAAGAGAAGACAGTAAAAAAAAAAAGCAAGACTGTCAGAACATTGCCCCTGCCCACCAAGGAGTTTCTCAACTAAATGCACCAAGCATGCCCTGGCTGTCTTTTTCTTGTGGAAAGTATCAGTGCAAAAGGCTGATAACTGCTCAGAGAACCATCCCCACCATTGAAAAGACTAAGGATTATAGCTGCAACAGGTCCATGGGCAGAAACAGAAAGTATAAAGCTTTAAATTCAAGTCATACTGATAAGTATAACAAATAAAGAGACCAAATTCCCTTTAAAAATGGGATTAAAGAGGCTGTAGGGAAGAAATATTTTGAAGGAAGTTAAAGAGAAGTTAATCTGCTTTTATGTAATTTGTTTCCCAGTTCTTCCTGAACTGGCTTGCTTTGGAGACAGCTACTTTCAAGGTTTACAGCTGTGCATATGGTTAGGAGGGCTGGAACTGGCAGCCGATCGCCTGACAGAATAATGGCTAACTGGAAAAATAGCTGGGTATATAATTTACAGATGATATGACCACATCAACATCAGTGAAACACAAACTATTCATTTTTACAGTCTCCAGATTGCTGTCTGTTGTGATATGTTCCTCCTGATTGCTCCCCCATTGTGCTGAGCATCACCTCTCCTCCCACCAGCACCCGCAGTGGGAAGGACAATGATGAGCTGCAGCACTGTGGGGCACAAGAGGATGGAGATCTCAGTTTCTGGAGGTTTGTATGGTTTAGATATGGACAGGAGCCAAAGCAGCAGTACCACCAGGTCTGTGTTTTTGCAGAAAGCGTCTGTGCACATCAGCAGTGTGGTGGGTGCCCAGTGGTCTGTAACCTGTAGCTCGTTCCTCTCCTAACCACCACCTGGACTTCCAGCAGCCTGGCAGGTCTGGAACTTCTAGCTCCCAAAGCTGTCCTTGCTCTGGAAGGTGCCAAACAGCTCATTCAGTACATTTCTCTGGTTTTTAAATTGTATGGATTTGAACCCAAGCTTGCTAAGGTGAAACACAAAACCACAGTAAACTGGCAAAGATGCAGAGTTTGGTTACACCAATAGTATTTAACCTTCTGCAGACATCTCTTGTCTTTCCTGTAGGAAAATTGAAAACAATTGCCCTTCAAACCATGGGTGCTTTTCTGAATGTACTGTTTTTTTTAATCTGGGCAGAACGTCTTTTTCATGCTGTTTTTCTCACTCAGTTTCTTTCAGTGGGGGAAAAGACAGTAAAAGGGAGAGAGAGTGGGAACCACAGAATGCAGACATGGAATCTAGAAAAAAAAGTGATGTTTTCTAAAAGCTGGAAATATTTCATCTCCAAATAAGTGGCTTCCTATACAAATATCCATTTATTGTGAACAGGCCAGTTCTTATTTTCTCATTGGAAAAAACCCAGAAGTGTTTTGCTAAGCCTTCTCTTCCTTTCCCCCCAAAACCAGAGATGTGGCAAAACCGAAAGACACTAGAAGGTGATTTGTGTTGTGACACACTGAACTGTATCTGTCCACTGCTGCGATTACAAACAGAGGAGGCTTCTTTCTTCACAAGCGCCCATGTTACCCTTGAGGTGATCTGTATGATCCATCCTACACCATGTGTTAAAACGTGCATGTTCGAGAAACAAATGCCAGTCTTACTGAGGCATTAGTCTCAGTTGCATTCTGCCCCAGGGCTGAAAATTTTATTTGCCTCAACTCTTCTCAACTCCTTGTGACATTATCACTCTGTTTGTTATCTGTCACTTAGGGAATTCAGCTGGCCAGCATGAACTGCCTTGATGTCACAAATTCATGGCTGCACCCAGTAAGCAGTATGTTATGTTTGAAATATGTTCTTCAGGGGTTGGAGAGGGTCATACTGCTGCTGAACCTCTCAAAAGAGCCCAAGCAGCACACAGGCTGGCGTGGAGCACTGGTGATGCTGATTTCTTCAGCTGCATCGTATTACAGAGTGTGGCCTTGGAAAGAAGGAAATTACTCCAGCGGTCACAGTAAGTGTAAAAACTGCTATGTCATTTAACAGACACGGTGCCAGGGCTTTTAGAGAGTGTAATCCAGCTCTTTGAAAATTCTGCTGAAGGATGCTTGAGCTAACAAGGCTCTGTGCTCTCAGATGAAGCAAGCCACGTACATTAGCTCTATTGTCAAGACATGGCGCAGAGCATTTATTGCTTTTGGCTCATGTACAGTGCAGGATTATTCTGTGAGTTTACGCAAGACTGTCTGTTTATAGTTGAAAGTGAATTATTTGCTCATTAGTGGTTCATAAAGGTCTGCTTGCTCCTGCAATGTGAGACGGCTTGGACTTCTCTTTTGATGAAATGTGCTTGCTTTAGCTCATGCTCAACAGCACCTTCAAGGTGGTCCAAAGGACATGGGATTAGGAAAATCAACAACTACTGTAAGAAAAATATCCCTCTTTTTTGTTGCTCCGGCTTTCAGCACCACAATCCCACTTTGAGGCCTGCGTGTGCCAGAGGAGGGAGGTGAGGGCAGAGAACAGCGATGCTTTGGCTGGCCTCAGCCTCTCCTGTTGCTTGTCCTTCCTCAGCGTGTCAGTTCTGGTGAGCTCAGGACAGCTTCCAGTAGCCTGCTGTGATGTCAGATTTTATACTTGCTTTGCACCTCTTAAAAAAGCTTTCTCTGAAACAGAAGATATGGTAGATGGCAATCAGTGAGGAGAAAACAGCTATTCTGTGCCAGATATAAGCAAGTAAGTAAGTTTTCATTGTATTAAAATAAGAAAAGACATCAGTGCTCTTTCAAAGGGAAATAAAAATATGCTCTTAATACTTCCCTGATTGGCCCCGGATGTTTGAACCCCAGTTGGTTAAAATGCCTGGGACACCCCACAAGCTCTGTCAAATTGCAAAGCTGGTTTTCGGAGTGTTTAGCAGGAACTTAGGCAGGCTTTTGCATAAAGGCATGAATTTTCCACTGACCCATGAAACAACATTGTACTTTTTTTCCCTACTTTTTTTTTTTTTTTTCTGAAAGATAATACTTACCAAGCTTTGGAATATCCCAGAAGCTGGTGCTGTACAGTAGGCTGAGTATATTTTACCTCTCCTGGCTGGAGCACTTGCCACTCACCTTTTACCTAAAGAGTCATTTCTTATCACTGTCAGTTGATAGAGAAACAGGGACAGACTGCTCTGCCTCAACACAGGCAAATTTGGGATTTTTAGTTTTTTCTGATACAATTCTTGTCACACAAGGGTGGAATATTTAGAAATACGAGGACAGTAGTGTTATAATGAGCTGCAGCAATCTCTACTGCCAGCCCCATCAGCTGAGTGATGAGTGCAAGAAACCATTGTCCAGGTGTGGGCAGCTGTGTGGACATGGAAATTGATGGTTATTCAAGTCATGGATTATTGTGTGTAGACAGGTGCAGTGCTGGGTATACACCTGAGGCAGGTTTTGCGCCACTCTGACTTCACTGGAAGGAAGCTATATTATATCAGAGACTGAAAACTCTGGTGGGAAAAGCTGTAGACAGTGACCTTAGTGCCTGGTGTCTGTTCACGGTGTCATTGATGTGTAGGCCCATGATTTTAAGTTCCACTTTCTCTATATTTTATCTGTTTAAACCACGGAGAACAAGGATTAGTCTTTACTTTGAGATTTTAATATTCCAGGATAGATTAAGACAGCAGCATCCTGATGTCAGATGACCATTAAATACTAAATTCTATCAAATCCTCCAGCAGCATTAGTCAAATCAAGACTTAAGTCCCAAAAGCTTCATACATTCTCCAAAATAATTTCACCACAGTATCATCTCTGAAGCCAAGTCGTTCTTTGTCAATAAATGAGCAATTCAGGGATGTATCAGCTGGAGAAGTTCTAACGTGGTTAGTTGTGGCCTTCCCTCGGGTAAGCCATTAAGTGAAAAGCAAATTCTCATGGCTGACTTACAAAAGCACTAAGAAAATGGAAATGTTGATGTTTATTATTGATTTTATTCTTTGCTGCCGTGGAATGGTGCTAGTGGGAGCTGTTTTAATCAGTTTACTTTAACACTTATTTACAGAAGGAAGTGCTTAATTTATCCCCTCTTTTCCTTTACCAAAGTGATGCACTATCAAGATGTCAGCTGTGTTTCTTGTACAACAGCCCATCTCTTTTTGGTTTTCTCACTGTACTTGTGTAATTAATTTCTTATCAGGCCCTATAATACAAAAAAAAAAAAAGTGCATGTGTTTTAACTCCTAAAGTAATCCCTCGTATTCATTATGGGATAGAATAGACAACGATTGCTGAAGATACAACTGCAAAGTGTTTCAGATTTCTGGAAATATGTGTAGAAAACTACATTTATCAAACATTCATCCAAAACTCCCTATGCTGTCAAGTCACAGATACATGCCTGTACAGAGAGCGTATCTTTGGGATTCAAGTCAGACAGGCTGATACCAGTTTAACTGAGAAGCTGGGAAATTTTGAGTGATATATCCTCTCATAATCTGTGAAGTTAAATGGTTTTTCTGATTTGATCCTTTACTGCCTTCCCCATTTTGTGTCAGATGAAATCAGGTGTGAAATGATAGGACATCCAAATGGCGCGTTCATCTGCCCACCCTCTGCTCCTTCATAGCAGGGTGAGTAATTGCAGGGAGGACAACAGAGAAAGTAATTAGGCCCTAATTGCCCCTGATTAGTCATATTTAATGCACCAATATTAGTGGCAATTTCAGTGAGCAGAGTGTCCTGTGAAACCATCCTCCATCGTTAATCAGTGCTGTTTGTGGGGCTGGAAACGACCCTGATGCAGGTTTACTCCAGCAGAAGAGCCAGTCCAGCTCAGCAGCAGCTGGTCAGAGCCCTCTGGAATGGCAACTGCACTGTTTTTTGTGGCCAGGACTGGGAACACGCTTCCTGCATTTCCCCTGCCTTCTTATAGGGTCCTGCTCAAATACCTGAGTTCAAATTCATGTCAAATCTGGCTCTCCATCCTCTTTAGCCCATGGTGGATACCTGACCCTGAGGGAAGCAAAGTATTCTGACCAGGACAAGCTATGGCCATGCTCAGCCCTGCCACCATCCCTTCTCTGCTGAAAGTTCGCCAGCTCCTTGCAAAACCACATCCATTCCATGTGGCCACTTGACACAGGGAACACCTGCCTTTCAAATGAAGAAGATGTTTAATCTCTGGAGCCAAATTTCATCCTCTTCTTGCCCTATCTTGCCTTCATTCCCTGACATTGCTTGGCAGTGAGTGGCTCCAAACCCAGATCCTCCTGTCAGCCTCCCCCTGACCGCCACTAACTACCTGTGAAAGGAGTAATGGCTTTTTGCTGGCTTAGCTGGATGACAGCAAATCTTGATACCTGCCTCTCATAGCCTGGCTCATGTGTTTATAATGATGTATTTGCTCTAGCACCTAGAGTAAATGAATTATATTAAGCCCCTTCAAATGGTCATAAATATGATAGTCTATGTGAACTGAGGTAATTGCCTGCTTTATGTATGTGTTTATCTTCACCGCATTGCATACACAATGTGCATTATGTCAAAAAGATGATAAAGAGCAGCCATAATGCTCCTGAACTGCATAAGTCTTTCTAGTTTACGACTGAGGCTTGGAGCTATCGTACGCAAAGTTAGCTGCAGTAGGTTTAATATAAATTAACATACTTATAAAATGTCAAGGAGCATTAATTGACAATTTCTGAGGCCTACCATGCTAAATACCAATTCAGTTCTAAAACCTATCTCTGCAAATTTAATATATGGAAAATAATGCTTATTCATGAATGGTTTATATAACTTGGAATTAATTACATGGCAGCTAGAGCTAGCTGGTACAGATGGTCTTTCTATAAAACAAGGTGCCAAAAATAAAGTTCCAAGCCCCACATGGGAACTTCTGGGATGGGTATTCAGCACTTTGTGAAAACAGGGCACATCATCTTGTGTGTAAATATCGACTTACTAACCTAATTCCGGACCACTTTTGAAAGAGACCTGGCCTATATAAAAGCATTTAACATCAGCAACTTCTGCATTTTGAATGAGTACGGCAGACGAGGCCTGCAGCAGAGCCCAGTGTGCTCCCCCACCATTTTGCTCATCTAGCAAATGGAGATCACTGCATATCTCTAGGTGAAAAAGATGAGACAAGCTAATGCTTATTTATTTGCACAAAGAGGCAAGTGTTGTTGGGTTCCTTTGCCTACAGCTTGAGCAGCATTAAAGCTGGTAGTAACCAGTGCAATGGGCCGCTTTGGAGGTGCTCAGGTGAATGCTAATTTTTTGTTAATACAGACCTGGGTTATAAAAACCCAGCTTCTCTCTTCAGTGCTGTTTGCAGGCACCAGGAAAGTGCTGATGTCTCTGTGAGAAGGTTACCTTCTTCCCCCTCCAGCTTGTGTTGCTTCCAGCAGCAAGTGTGGTCAGCTCACCACTACAGCATGCCTACTTTTATTCCTCAGGGGAACTTTACTGCCTGTCTAAACAAAGTTAAGTAAGGTGAAGGATGAGATTTTAAAGCATTCATTGATTTTTCCTTTAATATTTTGTTATTTCTTTTTACATCGATACAATATTTACTTTAGCGCACTGTGGTGTAAGTATATTCCCAGAATATGATGCACGTAATGTAATTTCCATATATGGCATACAGATATAAAACAAAAGATTGCCTCTAACTCCCTTAA